TTCCTGTCCAGAAATACAATTATATTCTACGTATGTGCTGGTTGGCATAAACAAATAAATAATGAATAAATACAATTCATCTCAGGCTTACTTCTTACTGTTTCCTGTTCTCTCTCTCTCTCTCAGGCTCTACATTTACATATTTGTTATGAAATGAGGCACAAATATTACAATATTCACTTAAGATCATTAGCTTTAAAATGACAAAAACTGAAATCAAAACTGTTTTAATTTCAAATGGTAAATGGACTGTACTTATATAGCGCTTTATCCAGTCTTTACGACCCCTCAAAGCACTTTTACATACGTCATTCACCCATTCACACCCATTCATACAGAGCAGTGTACCTGACTCTAGGACCTAACATTCACACACATTCACACACCGTTGGCCATCGGGAGCAACTCAGGGTTAAGTATCTTGCCCAAGGATACATCGACATGTTGGCTGCACGGGCTGGGATCGAACCCACAACCTTCTGGTTGAAAGACGACCGCACTCCCTCGCAGCCACAGTCGCCCATTAAAATAAGTATTCCTTTTTTGTCGTGTTTTGTTTACTCTAACGCACTGCACTGTCCGTAATTCTGTATTGACTGTGAGTTTATTTATTTATATAATAAAGAAAGATAACTTTTAAGAAGTATGATGTAATGTTTTCATTGTGTCACAGAGAAGCCTGTAAAATGGTGTTTGACAATAAAAATAGAGTGGTAAATGGACTGCCTTTATATAGCACTCTTGTCCAAAGCGCTTTACAATTGGCCTCTTACCACCTATTCACATCTGAACTGGCATCAAAGTGCTTTTTAATGAACTCTAATTTATATCTCTCTGAGTTGTGGTTTGTGTCGTATGTCACATATTTTGTCCCTTATTTCTATTCCGCCATTAAATGTACCTATATTCCTTTTATAACTCTCTTTTTCATGATACACTTAACGACAGAAAAGATGGGAAGGACACCAAGATATTGACTTAGATTGAATGAGCCTTTGTCCAGGGAATCCACAGAAAAGTATAAGAGGCCGTATCGCTCAGGTTTCAGGTTTATATTTGTGTTTTTGCCTCTGCTGTGAAATGTTTCCATCACTTTTAACCTAAAAAGCAATTTTTCATAGGCTTCTATTAATAAACCGATGGCTTCTCGTGAACTGAAGTCTCGCACCCTCATTATTTTTATTCTCAAGACATCTATGTAATTATACTCTGGCGGTGTAATCTGTTTAATCACACTTCTAAACTAAACTAGATGTCCTAAATCTCCCATGCTAGTACACAGACCCTTAATCACAGAGATTCCTGCCAAGCGTTCCAAATCATAAATGGAAACCCAATTATTTAAAGGGTGACAAGCATGCTTATGAAATGATTGATAGCTAAGTTGGTTTAACGAATTTCAGCACTGCTGTAATAATAGCAGGTAGTTTAATTCCTTGGATGACAAAACCTTTGTTCAATAATTAACGAATTGCTGTGGTTACAAAGCGATAAGACAGCATGCAGCGTGGTGTGTTCATGTTATCTAAAACTAAGACTGGTTAGAGGAGCAAAATCGTGAAATTGGTAACACAAGATTAAGGAAAGTCCACAAAAACCTACTAAAAATGCATTTTGACCATTGTATTGTGCATTTATTTTGTAAATTCGTTGAAAACTAATGCACTTTACTTCTCGATGCAAATTGCATTTCGTTGTGCAATGACAATAAACATGAATCTTGAATTGGTTGGCATTGCTTATATGACCAGATATAATGTATATATTAACTTATTAGTCATGTATAATTCAATGTTAATAAAGAAATGTAGCCAACAGACGTTTGTTAGGGGCTGTGATGCTGATGATTGGCAGCTTTACCTTACCTTAAATCTTGGTAGGGCTTCAAGTCATCTTTAATTTTCTAAAAATACGTTATAAACTGTCACGAAATAAAGAAAGTTCCAGCTCAAGCCCAATTAATTTTGATTGGCAAATCCAAAGGTGTTACTTTTATAATTTAAAGAAAAAACTGAAAAATAGAACATTCAAAATGTAAAAATTGAAAAAGCTGAGATATGACTACAGGTGATAAAACTATCTTGGTGATATCTAATGATGAATGAATGTCACGGGGTCAAATCCAGCGGCCACCTGGTCTTGCTGTGTCGAGGCAATAGGTTAATTTGAAATTGAAAATTGTCCATATGGGGGGGTGTAAAGTGTAAGTGGTTCTCTGTACACGTGTGCTGCTGCAGGCTGATCCAGGGTGTGTGTCACCTCCAACGTCTCTTACATCTTCTAAATGTTTTTGGCAGAGATGGCAAAAGTACACACATCCTTTACTGAAGTAGAAGTACAGATCCTCGTGTTTAAAAATACTCTGGTAAAAGTAGAAGTACTGACTAAACTTCTTTACTCAAGTAACAGTAAAGAAGTATGGGCTTCGTAATGTACTTAAGTAAAAAGTACCCATAACTAGCAGCTGTTTTAAAGAGTACCTGACCTCCCTTTATATTAATAGAACAATAATGTCATTGTTAGCTAATGAATGTTTCCATGCTGAACAACGGCAACATGACAACGTTTTCATTGGTCCCTCTTCTTTAGAGAAGACCAGGAAATGATGGATAAACGGATCGTGTTCAAATCAATAGGCACGCAATGACTCTAAATCAGGGCTCTCCAACACGTCGATCGCGAGCTACCGGTGGCTCGCGGGCAGCTTTTCAGTAGCTCGCGGCTCGATTATCGATTATAGCGTAGTAAGGTTGCTTCTTGATTTTTCGGCCGCGGCTGGACAATAACGTTTTTTTATTTTAGAATTGTTTCTGTCACACGAATATCAAATTGGTCAGTGATGCAGAGATCAAGGAACAGACGTGACAGCGGCACAGCGACACCACACACGGGGCAGTCTGCTTTCTCCACCAACATCAGTCCAGAACCAACAGCAGAATGACCCGCTCTGAATCAGGCCCTGTCGCTGCGGCTCAGAGACACACAGGGAGGGATTTGTGTTTTTTGAAAAACACTCGTTATCGTCATGTCAGGTTTTTGGTGGATTTAATCAAGTCTTGGATTGCAGAGTATGAATGTCCTCTTGCTATTTTCAGTTGATAAATAGGCCTACTTGTGTAAAGTTTGTGAAGGCAGAAGGAAAGCTTCCGCGATCACCGTCTCCTCTCCGTTCCTCCAAACCCCGCCCCCTCCCTGAAAATAATGAGTGACAGGCTGATAGTGACCCGATAGAAACTTTATTATTCACTTAATCACTGATTGAGATATGATGAAGCTAACTTAATCTCATACATTCATGGGATTTATGTAACAGTAAGACAGAGTAATGTAAGTGTGCACCCACATGCACTATTTTTGTTTTTATAATGCTGTTGTAAATACTCCTGTTGTCTGCTGTGTTCAGACTCAAGTCCTGTGTGTGATGCCACATTCAGGACATTCAGTGTCTTTTTTTTAACAGAAGAAAAGAAGCTGCAGCTAGACTGCAGAAGTATTAGTTTTTTGTTTATGAGGATGGAACAATTTCACACACAGATATAGGGAGGCTAGACCTATACACTTGATTTATTATGGTTTATAATTTCATGTCAAGACAAAGAAGAAGAAGAAAAAGATGGCTGAACTGTTCAGTGTCAATCCTGTGGAGATGGAGGTTATAAATCTCCAAAATAATGTTCAGCTTAAGTCTCAGCAAAACTCACAACATTTCTGGAGCCTTGTAGACCCAGAAAACTACAAGAACATTCGCAAGCAGCACTGAACATGTCTGCTTTATTTGGTTCTGTTCTACATACCTTTGTGAAGCAGCTTTTGCTGACATGAATGTCATGAAATCTAAATACAGAACAAGAATGACTGATGAACATTTAAATGACTCTATTAGAGTGAACCTAAGTGGGTACACTCCAGCATACACCTGTATGGTGGACTCATGCAGTGCCATTCATCTCACTGACTGTACAAAAGAGTGAATGCACTTATTTTATACATGTGCCATAAGATGCTTGTCAGGTGGTGATTAAGGACATTATGTGAATTTTCAGTGATGTACTTACTATGAGGGCCATAATAATATGTGCGACATTTTCGTTTTCTTGGACCTTCATGTGAAGTGATATGTGAATACATGTAAGCGATGTGATGCAAGTAGCTCTTGGCCACTTTCATTTTTTCAAAGTAGCTCTCAGATGAAGAAAGGTTGGAGACCCCTGCTCTAAATAATAATGATCATACCACCAAACACAGATTAAAACTAAAGGAACAAACCTGTTTGGAAAATGTAAGAAGTAGAAAGTACAGGTATTTGTGTTCAAAATGTAAGAAGTAAAAGTAAAAAGTCGTCAGAAAAATAACTAGTGGAGTAAAGTACTGATACCAGAAAAATGTACTTAAGTACGGTAACAAAGTATTTGTACTCCACTACTTCCCACCTCTGGTTTTTGGGAAGTTTCTTATTTTCTTAGACTAAGCTGGGCAACACCTTACTTCTCAGCCCAGTTTAAAAAAAAAAAAGAATTCATGATTTTGTGATCAAAAATATTTGTTATTGTTTCCTTTGACGATTTGTTTTATTCCCATGAAAGACAATGCACCTAACACTGTATACACGGACAGCTTTCACCAAAATTATGTTTTCCTAATAGTGCGTTAAACTGCCTCAAATCACAGACTAATACAAATGTTTTTGATGCTGTTAGATGAACCTTGATGAAAAGGTTTTCGTCTGCTCTGCTCAGACAATAGAGGCTGCGGTCAGGTTTGATTCATGGCCCTTACAGTGGATTCCAGTAATGACGAGTCACCATTAAATTCCTCTGAAAAAAACATAAATCCGACCGCAGCTGTCGTTCTTTGTGAAGAAGGAGCCAAGTGTCAGTGCTACAGGGAGGGAAGGCTTGACTCAGTACTAGTGTAAAGATGGGGTAAGCCCGAGGGGAATACATGTGGAAGATAATACAACACCCTCATAAGTATCATATTACAAATGTGTGAGTTTCTACCTGTTTTAAGTCCAGAGTGATTGTCACAGAGTGGTACTCTCTTCCATTCTGGATAGAGGGACTTTGCCACCAACGGTTTGTCCCGTCTATGGCGTACTCTATGGGATGTTGTTCTAGAAAAACACACAAACAAAACACACAAAGAGAGATCGGAAATCAAAGTGAGGGTCAGAGGTCATATCAGTAATTGTGTTCTATGTTATCTTATATTTCAAATATCAAAAAGTCATTTTAGTCTTGAATGAACATTTTCCATTTTTTTTTTATAAAACTGGCATTTCAACCATTCAAGGCCAGATATCAAAAGCACACATTTCTACCTTATCAGGGAGAAATCCTTTTCTTTTCTTTCCTTTTCAGATTATTTTATTTCACTTCTGAATAAAAATAAATGTCACCCTATTTGCAGAATCTGCTCCTCGCTGCAGTTACTATTCCGCACAATAACTCGGACGCAACAGGAAGGAAACATATTATTAGTTTAACACAGAGAGAAGGTCACTTTGTTACACTTTAATGTATGCTGTGTGTAAGCCTTTGTTTGGGTGGTAATTGAATGAGAGAGTATTTTTAAGTGAATATGATTGGTTGACTTGCAGCTGTCAATTATCAGGTTACTTATGTGTGACATTTCTGTTACAAAAACCATGGCAACTATTGACAGAATAGTAAAAGGAGTCCTTCCTCTCCTCGCTCTTTTCCCTCATTTGTCCAGGTTTTCTCCTCCTGTGGCTAAGATGTTTTACATTGAAAGTTAATAATGGACATGCAGAATTGCTTAATCAAAATACATGCCATTCAGTTAAACAGTCTGTCATACAGAAATAAATCAAATAATACAATAACCAGTCAATTAGGAATGGTTCGTTATATTAGAATAAGAAATGTCTAGAAGTCTAGAGATATCTTTTTGAAACTGATGTGCTGCATCGAGTATATACGCTATACTACTTTCAGTTTTTTTATGACCACTTGAACTGTATGTTGTACTGTGTATTTGGAATGCTTTATTTGCCGGGGCTAAAAACACATTTCCATTGTTTGTCAATGTAATCGTCAATAAGTCGTCTGAATTTAAATCTACAGCTCATTATCAATTCTTGTCCCTAGTGGGACTTTAACGGTGGTTTTCATCATCTAATCTTACTCTGAGCAAGAAAGAGAATAAGCATATCATCCATAGTTCCTTTAAAAGACAGAGAAAGTCTGTTATGTAACTCATCACTTGTTTTAAAAATACCTTTTTGATCTCAGTTCATCTGTCTTTCATTTTCACCACACTCATTTCAAGCTTTATTTCCCCCCTCTTTCTGCAGCAGTAAATCCCTGCTTCATCCTCCTTCTCTCCTCTCATCCTGGTTGACTAACTGTCTGATTGCTAAGCTAACTAAGCAAAGCTAGCTAAGCAGGTGTAACCAAAGCTAACTGCACTCATTATCTGACTGACTGGCTGGTTGATGACGGCCTGCTTCAGCGACTAACTGATGGTTAACTGAAGCATTGATTGACTAAATAACTGTCTTGTATGAATTATGATCGCAGGCTAATTTTCTATTGTCATCTTGTCATGTCGCGATTGATTTCTCAGTTTATTCAGTGATTATCATTTCAGACAAACGGATTTGTTAACATCTGGCCAATCTGGCACTAATTAACTAATCGAGCATGATTCATTGTTGTAATCAAAATGCCTATAAGTCTGTCTTACCTGTGGGTGTTGTACTCTTTTGGTTGCAGATTCGACACTGAGCGTTTCTTATGGGCTGGCCGGGTACATGTTCCACCAGCTTACAGAACATCTCCGGACCCGTGGAACCACAGGTCGCATTAGTGGAGATATCTGCCATGGAGGCCAAGTTCAACACAGCCGGGAACAGACCTGAAATAAAACACACAGACCAACAGAAACAGATGTTAAAAATTAAACCAATAGATAAACATATTATTATGGAAGCTTGTTAGACATACTGTAAATGCAACATCATATTAAGAGTGTGGTGTTTTTGGAAATACACTTGTTTATGCTGGATACACACATGAAGTTGGTATCAATATTCTCATTTGAGAACTTGAAAGCAAACAATGACATAAGACAATTCATGAAATGTATTAAAATGTCAATTCAATTTTTACCTAATTACCTTTAAACCGTCTTTAAAATATGTTTTCATTTCCTATTCTTATCTCTTTTTTTGTCAGTTTTATTTGAAACCTGAGGATTTATGACTTATCCAGTTTGTAATCCTGTATTTTTAAATCACTTTGTTGGATTTCAAAAAGGGCACAATAGATCATTAGTGTTATAATTATTATTTTTTAAATAATAATAAAAGTATAGTTGGATCAGGTTGAACGCAATTAGGAGCAGCTCAAAGGAGGTCAGAAAGGATTTCATCTTCAAAACAACATGTGTTGCTAAAAAGCAGAACATTATGTGTTATTAGGAACCCACACAACACCATGCTTTACTCAAATGTTTTGTTCTTAAAATCATTAAATTGTGTCAGTTTCTGTGTGTAGTCTTGCTGCGAGTGAGCCAGCTTGCACAGTTGTTCTGAGGTTATGAGTAATTAGTGGGGAACATGAGGGGGAGGGCAGGTTTTGTACCAGTCATTTATATAATCTGGGTATATTTTGGTTACAGTCTAATGCAGTTAACATCATTTACCCCTCACAGATAGAGCAAGCCATATTCACTTTATCTTTGGATAAAAGAAGCATGCAGATTAAAGAAAACATTTTTAGGCCAGTTTTCAACTGTGCAGATTTGGGCCTGCTACTTTATCAAAGGACTGTTCATTTGCATTATGTTGCTCAAGCATTTTCCACTTCCTTTCTGTGGCTATTTTAAACTGCTGGAGCTCATTTTATTATGGAAAACAATCCTAAGTACACAGCTTTTTTCCAGGATATTATTATGTTATACTATTCAAAAATTACTTTCTGATCTTGCAATATAATTCACAAAATATCGTTTTTGCATCCCTATCTTATCCTAATGTTTTTTTGTATTATTTGAGGAAGTATCTAGACTAAATGCTACATAGAAATGCATGTAATGTAATACATTGGATTTTGATTTTTTGGCATGCATCACATTGTTTGTCTATAGTACAGTATGTGCACATAGTTTAAAGTATTTGAGTGCACTCACAAGCCAAGTAGCTCTGAGACTTCTAAACAAAGCAATGATAACTCATGTCTACATGTCATCAGCACACAAATGCACCATGAGACTAAGCACCGGTTTTTCTAGGCTGTGTGTTCCCATAGTAAAAGCACATTCGTCTCAGAGTCAATGACAAGCTTGTTGGACTTAAGGTACTGGAATGCTCAACATACTGTGCACATGGTTCACATTTCCTGTCTGGCAAACACACACAGACAAACACATGCACGCCCTGCACAATGTCACATGTCCCAGACGTGATGTAAGGTCAACAACTTTTACAGTTAAACAACATGTGCACTGATGTACAAACATAAACACAGAGATGCGGGAATGTACAGAGGGAAGATCAGATTGAAAGACAGTAAAAGTGTAAGAGAAACGAAGCACTTGTGAAAGGGTGGACGGTGTGTGTGTGTCCAGATGAGTCCAGAGGAGTCCAGCTGTTTGGCCAGATGTCAACACTGATGAACTGTGAAGAACATCTGAGACACCCAAAGTCTCTCTCACACATGTGTACACATTCTCACAGTAGTACTCACAACATATCATATACACACTCTGCATACCTTGAGAAATTCTCACAACTGATATCTGAGAATCTACACGAGGGAGGAAAGATTTCCATAACAGTGTTTTCTTGGAGGGAAAGTTCTCACTGTGTTTCAGAAAAATGTGGGGGGATAATATCATACCACATCCGGGTTGTGTTTTGTAGAGACTCACATAATGCAGCTTTGAGTAAATCAGATATGAGAGAGGGGTCTGATTTTGAGAAGAAAAAAAGTAACCATAACACATGTAAAGTTAGGATATTAAATTGGGTTTTTTCCATTCATGTGTTGCAGTTTATGTTATATACTTATCAATTCATCACGATAATATCACTCCTAGGCAATTGTGTGTCTAGACTACTGTCACACATCACAACACTTTCAATACATATTCTAGAAGTACTGAATAGTTTCAAACTCCATTCATAACTGTTTCTTAGTCAGCATTGAATTCTGGGCTATTTTCTTTTCTGCTTTCTTTTGAAAGTCCATTCAATAGTAGAGTACTCGATATTATTAATGTCATACTTTTGGTGGCTGTGTGATATTGTTTTCCACTCTTTTGATCCAAACATTTTCAATAGCTCCCGACTCTACAGCCTTTGGTATTTAGTATTTACAAAAATGAATGTTCACTGCAGTTTAAAGAACTGTTTACATTCAAGGCTTTATTTGAAAACCTCAATATAAGCTTTGAACTCAGTTTGTACATTTTACTGATAATAAAGCTGCTTTTATTCGTGTTGAACCAAGTATTTTCACTTCCATCTTTTCATTGTGGCAGTTTTTGGATGTCTCAAGATTTTAAGTCTGATATTTGATTCACATCTCAAAGGCTCTAGTCATTGGAGAGCAGGTTGAACTCTTTACTGTGCCTTTTGTAAATTCTATTCCCAATTTTATAAATCACAGTAGGCAAAAGGAAAAGCTCTAAAATAAGAGTAACAGCATCCATATATACTAACGGATTCATCCTTTAAAGGTGGGGTATGTCATTTATTTCAGAAACACTTGTTATATTCCATGGAATGCTCTTAACATCCCGATAGCAATGAATATATTAAATGCTTTGACAATAAATACATACAAAAATGTCATCTGTGGAAGCCGTAATACTGTAAAAAGCAGGACCAATCATCTGAGCCGGCCCGGCTAAAATAACTGGATGGCCTACCTGCCTGTCAGCCTTCCATCTGTGCACAAACTGATCTCGTGCCCTCATTGGTCATGTGCGCGTTCGTGTGTGTTGGAGGAGGGGTTCTGTAAGGAAGTCTGAAGGAAGGGGCAGATTTTTTTCGGCTGCGTAGTTTAAAATTCTAGCGCACTCGAGCTGGTTTCTCCAAAATGACATACCCCACCTTTAATGCACCTATTACAAGAGCAAACATGTGTGCACCATCTTATTGTCATGCTACCAACACAGCTACTAATTGAACCATCTTCAATGTGAAATACATCTTATTTAAGGCTTTAATAAAAGATCTTATCGGTTTCTTCAATAAACATATTTCTCATGATCCGTCTCCACACCGTTTCTAACGACTGCCTCCTCCTTCTGTCAGAAAACCTATAGCCAACATCATGCGTAATTATGGATATTCATTCATAACCTGGATACAAATGTGTGTGGGAGTAAGAATATCTTTAATAGTGTCATTTAATCTAGATTTGAGACAGTTAATACCATAAACACACCATCAGCTCTGCATGTCTGAATTTAAAGAATCACATGGTGAAAGCACATGTTTAGTTTGTGCCATTTTCATCTCTTTCAATCTGGCTGGGACCCTTGCATGTTCACATAACACATGTCCAAACTTTAATTATAAAAGCACATTCAAAACCATCTTTGGAAAGTGAAAATAATGCAGGGAACAACAACAAAAATCCAATATGATTTCAACTACATTTTCTTTATAGATTTTGTCACTGTGTTGGCTGCCATAGCAACTTTTCTAAACATTACAATTATCTCTTGGGAGAATGTCATCATGGGTACAACTCCAACACTTTCTCCCTTTGCTTTTATGTCCAACAATGAGGTGAGATAACAACAGAGAGGGCTGGCTAAAGAGAGGGCTCACATTTCAGATTCACTCAATGACAAGGACACAATGACTGTCTGCCTTCAGCTCTATGGCTTTCACACACACACACACACACACACACACACACACACACACACACACACACACACACACACACACACTCTCTCTCACACACTATCTACTCAGGTTCATCACCTTCCATTCTTTTCTCTCTGCTCTGATAACCATGGTAACCCGTCTATCTGTCTGTTGGCCTCTCTATCCCGCCTCTACGCTCTGTTAACCAGATGTCTCGGAGGATTTGCTGCCATACAGCCTCTAAATTATAATACTGTCAGAATGTATAAGCACACACAGGGAAAGCTGGGAAATGTCATCGCCAAAGAAGTTGTTTCAACACTCCCAAACACTGATTACAAGGAAAGGATAGGCGGAAAAACACTAATATTACCCAAAGAATAATTTCAGTACAGTCTATTGCGTCATCTTATCAAAATGTTCAAATGTAGAAATTATCATACACCATATAATGCCACATTGCGGTTATGTTTTACAATTAAAATATATCCATAAATATATATATTTATACATATGTTGGAGAGAAACCAAATAAAACATTAGATTTTCTCAGCATCAACCAAATCTAGCTTGAATGTTCAACCTTGATTTTGTCACAAGGTTCATTGACTAATTGGACATTCCTGGAGCTTTCAGCCACACATTGTGGTCTTCTTCTATGAAAAGGCTTTGATTCGTTATTTGTTTTGGGTATTTGTCCTTGTTGATGTTGCAAGTGGAGATGCTGAGATGCAAGAAGAATGTCAGACCTATTATCGTATCGTTTATCGTATCGTCACATGTTTTTGCATGACCAGAAAAGCCACTAGGTAAAGACTTAACCATCTCACTAAGAAGAAATCAAACCTCTTCTGCTGTTGCAAGATGTGGGAATTACATTTGACATCGACCAGAGATTTGATGCTTTTCAACGGTTATTGGATTCTAAAAAGAGGAGTTAAGACACCCAGGACTTCCATCTATATCCCAGGGTACACCTGTTCCAACAAATATAGTGTTTACAAAAGTGACGATATTGAAGGACACTACT